GAATGTACAATCGTGGAAGAGGGGGGAGAGGGCAAAGGGGCAGGAGGAGGAAGACGGGCGTGCGGGGGGAGTGAGACCATGGTGAGGGAGGGGGAGGTCGGGGAAGCCAGAGACAGTGGAGGCGTGTCCTACCAATCGCGCCGTCGTTGTGCATGGATAGCAGGGTAAGAAACCTTGTAATGGAGTGTAAAGAGCTGTGAGAGAAAAATGTCCAAAAAAATGTAGAAAGCTGACGGGGAGAGCGACGGACGTTACTCTTCCCGCCATCGGACTTTTAAATCAACCTCACATCAAAACGGTACTCTGTCCACCCCCTGGTCCTGTGAGAAGGGTTTGCTTTCATTCTTGAATGTTCTTTTTCAAAACGCACCTCTTGCTTGTTTTAAAATCCTGCAACGGTGGTCCCTCGCTCCACACAGGAAGGCGTCGAAAGAGTCGGCGATCGTCGGTTTTTTTTTTCAAATATGCTCGGCCTTTTCCCAGTGGGAGTACATCCAAGTGCCTTTCTTCCATGCCATGACAAACAATACGTATGCTGCTCGTATCGTACACTTACGCGGTGAACATACTTCGTCTATATTTTCAGAATTTTACCTCAGTGTTACTGTCTCTTATCTGCATCTTATCTGTTTACCATCCTACAGGCGTTGTCACGCACCAAAATACAGTGACTCCCTCGGCTTAAGACCCAAATTCCTGACCGTTGCTACCCTCCCTTCCCTTCCTCCCTCCTACTTTGCTCCCTTTTCCTCCCTGCCCTGAGCTTTTCCCCTGCCTGACCTTCCCTCCGCTCTCCCCCTGGACCTGGAGGTACCCTTCCTCCTGCGCCAACAGGGCCAGCAACACGTCGCCAAGCTCCTCGCCGCCGCACCGCCAGACCGACTTCAACTTGGCCGCGTTTTTTCCTTCCCCTTCCTCTCTCCCTCCCACCTGCCCCCGTCCGCCTTTCTCCCAGACGGGCACTTTCCCTCGTGTCATCCCATAGACGCCCAAAATGGCGCGAAAAAGGCGGCGAAGCGCCCCCCACCCCTCCCGTGCGACGAGGCTCCGATCGGACGTCAAATAGGCCACTGCCAGGAGGCCCAAATGGTGGGTCGGGGTCTGAGAGAGGGGAAGGCGACAGCGGGGGTTCTCCCGCGCCGGAAGGGCGCTCAAAGTATGCCCTGTTGCCTGAATACAGGCGCGGTAGAAGGGGCGGAGTTGTTTTCGGAGCACGGCCGGGTCGGAGAGGAGGGCCTGGAGGGAGGGAAGCACGTCCGGGGCCGCTCGGGCTTTTACGATCGGGCTTTTCGCCGTCCCCGTGCTCGGGGACGAAGAAGCGAGCCGGCGTTGAGTCCGTTGTCTTTGCCTCTGCCGCGACTTGCCCTCCTTCCCGCCCTCCCCCCCTTCCTCCCTCCCACCTTCCTCCAGCACCATGCCCTTCGCAATGGCGGCCGTGGTCGCCACGGCACGGGCAGCAGTGGCAACGGCGTGCGGGCTGAGGGAAAGTTCGTCGGTGGGGGAGAGGATAATGAGGCTGGGCACCTCGGCGTCGTCACGCAGGACGTGGGCGGGGAGGGCGGGGCTGAGGTCCTCTGTGGCCGAAGGCTTCCCGCAGGCGGTAGGCGACAGCGGCAGCAAGGATGCTGGCTGGGTAGCTCTGCGACTGCTTGTGCAAGACGTGGTTGGGGGAGTCCTTCTTGTCCCGGCCGCTTGCACTACTGCTGGGGTCGAGGAGGGGAGAGATGGGTTTGGATCCAGGCTCTCTGCAGCAGCGGCGGCGGGCTGTCCCTCGCCCTTCTCCCCTCCCTCCTTTGATATAGCCTGCGCCTGAAGCCCTCCGGACGTCGTGCTTTCCTTTGCCATAGCCTGCGCCTGAAGCCCTCCGGACGTCGTGCTTTCCCTTCGCCCTCCCCCTCGCCCTTCCTCCACCCGCGCTTCTTCCATCCCGTTCGAGCCGGCTGCTCCCTTTCCCCCGCCCTCGCTCATTCCGCCTTCC